GAAGAGGGACTACGTGATCTGCTGGGAGTGCTAAATATAAACACCTGTCCAGTTGAATTATATGATTTACAGAAATACATTTCCCAGATGAAGTTTGGGGGGGGGGAGAGAGCCAGGCCAAAGGCAGAGCAGCTCTGTGTGGGAATGGGAAAGAAAGAGATGTTTACAGAGGCAGCAGACCAGAGATAATGTTGGGATTTATTAGCCATGTCTCAGAGACTTTGGAAAACAGCCAGGCCAAAAAAAAAAAGCAAACCCGGAGGAATTATCCAAAATGTCAGACTGTTGGAGGTTCATGTCTTCTTAGACCAAAAAGGAAGAAACCAACTTTCAGAGAACCAAAGTTCTCCTCCTGCAAAGGCCTAGCTTTGAAGGAGCCCAGATTTAAGTAGCTCGTCTTTTGCTCTTCGTCAATACCTACTTCGCGTGGCTTAATCTAAGCCATGACATGGCTTGTTTATCTTTGGCTTAGAGTGTTGTGGTGAAGTCACCCATCTTTGCTTTTTGAACTTGGCTTGTGGTTGAACTATTGGGCGAACCCAGACGGTTCTGTTTCATTCAACGAGCCACGGTTACACAAGCCACAATTTAGGACCATGCATGATTGCCGCCGAAGTCCCAGCTTAATTTCAGACACTGCTTACGTGACCTATTTGAGACTTTTAAAAATATCACTTCCTTGTGACATTGCATGAAAAAGCTGTGGGGAGAGTGGTCTGTTGGAGAGGAGAACGTCAAGGAAAGATGTCTAATTTGTTGGTTATTAAATGTACAGTTAGTCCTGGACTTCCAGCCATTTGTTGGGTGACTGTTCGAAGTTACAACAGCACTGAAAAAAAGAGACTTACAATCGTTTTTCACACTTATGACCATTGCAGCATCCCCATGATCAAAATTTGGATGCTTGGCAACTGACTCATATTTATGACAGTCGCAGTGTCCCGGGCTCATGTGCTCACCTTTTGCAACCTCCTAACAAGCCAAGTTAATGGGAAGCCAGGATCACTTAACAACCGTGTTATCATCTTAACAACAGCACTGATTCACTTAAGAACTAGGGCAAAGAAGGATTGTACAATGGAGCAAAGATCACTTAACTACTGTCTCACTTAGCAACAGAAAATTTTGGCTCAATTATGGCCGTAAGTCAAAGACACCTGTGTTGTTGTTATTGTTGTTAGTTGCGAAGTCATGTCTGACCCATCGCGACTCCATGGACAACATTCCTCCAGGCCTTCCTGTCCTCTGCCATCTTCTGGAGTCCATTTAAGCTCACGCCTGCTGCTTCAGGGGCTCCATCCAGCCATCTCATTCCCTGTCGTCCCCTTCTTCTCTTGCCCTCCATCTTTCCCAGCATCAGGCTCTTCTCCAGTGAGTTCTTCCTTCTCATTAGGTGGCCAAAGTACTTGAGTTTCAACTTCAGGATCTGGCCTTCTAAAGAGCAGTCGGGATAGATCTCCTCTAGGACTGACCGCTTTGATCGCCTTGCAGTCCAGGGGACTCACAGGAGTCTTTTCCAGCACCATAGTGCAAAGCAACGAACGTCACAGCCTCTCCTCTTGTTTTTCCCCGCAACAACCATTCTGGCGGCACGGTAGGCTGAAAAACAGTGAGCCTCCATGACTGAGGGAGAATTAAAATTAGTCTTGCCATTCCCGGTCCAAAGCCTTAACCGCTATGCCGCGCTGCCTCTCCAATATCTTTTAACAGCGTATTGATTGTCTTTCCCGGTATTCCAATTAGAAAGCGAGAGCCATCTGCACAAGCCCTCTGGAAACAGAGGATTTGATACGGCAGATTAGGTGATTCATTCAATTGATAGGACCACTGAAATCTGATAACTCTTGGTGTGGTGTCTCCATGTTTACACATTCCTGGCTCATGTTCAAGCACTGCATACATATACTCTTTCCTCTTGTGGGAAAAGCCAATTTAGGTCAGGAACATAGGCTGACTGATTTAGGAGCCCGATGCTGTTTCGGCCTAGAAATCAGCTGCCACTGTTCTCACGTTAAGAGCCTCGGTATATCCATATAAGCGGTATCAAGGTACATGATGTTATTTCTAGAAATAAAATAAAATTCCCCCTTTAGGACAGCCCCTTGATGATCAAACTATACAACGAAATATCACTCAAATAATGCATGGATTGTGAAAACAGGTGACGGGGTACCAATGATTTTGTTTCAAAACAATTGCTATGTGAAACGATTCCTCCCTTCGTTATGAATGACTGCAGATGATTCATTTATAGATGGCTATAGATGATGCATTCCGTCAACTTCCAATTTCTTAAATTAGCCTCTGAAGTCCAAACCGCGAGCAACATGAGGGATAAAAATGATGAAAAAAAGAAATGCACGTGTGGTATTTCAGACAGGAGATGTCCAAGCTCTGGAACAATGCCTGGAAGTTTGCTTTACAAGTCTCTCCTTTTCAAAATAAACCCAAGTATTATGAGAAGGAAGGACTCACTGGAGAAGAGCCTAATGCTGGGAAAGATGGAGGGCAATAGAAGAAGGGGACGACGGAAAATGAGGTGGCTGGATGGAGTCACTGAAGCAGTAGGCATGAGCTTAAAGGGACTCCAGAAGATGGTAGAGGACAGGGAGGCCTTGAGAAACGCTGTCCATAGGGTCGTGATGGGTCGGGCACGACTTTGCAACTAACAACAACAACAACAATTATCCTTCGGAGATTGCATGTTCATGTTTTTTCAAGGCATGGAGAGGACTCCCAAAAGTACAACTGGGCCTTTTAGGAAGTAAAAAAACGCCTCTGTTGGATGATATTTTTGTTATTGTTGTTCAGTTGGAAAGTTGTGTTTGACTCTTCAAGGTCCCATGGACCACCGCATGCCTGCCCTCCGCTTCTCCCAGAGTTTGTCCAAATTCACGTTCATTGCGTTGAGGACATTATCTATTCCTCTCAACCTCTGACGTCCCCTTCTCCTTTTGCCTTCTATCTTTCCCATCATCGGGGTCTTCCTCCAAAGAGTCCTCACTTCTCATTAAGTGGACAAAGTATTGGAGCTTCAGCTTCAGTAGCTGACATTGCACTTGCTGAAAATGAATGATGCTTACCGAGAATAATTGTCTGGTGTGAAGAATGCTTGAAGTTCTGAGAGGTTTATGAGGCTGACAAAGTTAAATAAGAATTTCTCAACGTCACCCTTTGGGTTCTCTTTAGATTTTTTTGTTTTCTAGAGAGTAACCAGAGTGATAGCCAGTCTATTGATGTTATAGTAACTTTCACCTCTGCTTAGCATGATTCTCTATTAAAGGTGTAGCGACTGTGACAGAGGGTCAAAAGTAGCTGGGGAAATTGATCAGAGCAATAGGGAATATGCTCAATATCTCGGCGTAACTCTTCTTTTATTTTTCTCCTCTATTTTGGGGGATATTTTCATTTATAGCAAGTCCCTTTAGACTGAGTTACACCCTTCGTCAATCCCGAAGATGCTTTTTTCATAAGGCAAATATCATGGTTCCAACAGATGAAACTCTTCCAAGAACTTCCTCCATGATGAAATCTTCCCCAAATCTTTGTCAGCTTATCCCCCAAGTCTAGGGACAGCGACTGGAGCTCGGGACCACTAGATAGTTTGGAAAGTTTGGAGATTTTGGCTTAATGTCATGGTTCCAACAGATGAAACTCTTCAAAGAACTTTGAGGCATTGTTTACCTTAAAGAATCTTTATTCAAGTTGCATAGATGGGCAGGTACATGGTCGAAGCCAAAATCTGGATTCCCCTCCCCTTAGACTCTTTCTAGAGTCTCAACATCTTTTTTACATCGTGGTGACCAAAACTGGATGCCGTATTCCAAGTGTGGCCTTACCAAGGCCTTGTAAAGTGGTATAATCCTTGACTCACAATCACAGCTGAACCCAAAGTTTTCATTGCTAAGCAAGACAGTCGTTCAACGGGTTTTGCCCCATTTTTACAACCTTTGTGGCCTCTCTTGTTGTTAAGTGAACCACTGCAGTTAAGTTAGTAACCCGGTTGTCCAGAGAATCTGGCTTCCCGATGGACTCTGCTCGTCGGAAAGTCACAAAAGGGGATCACGCGACTCTGGGACGCTGCAACGGTCGTAAGTATGAGACAGCTGCCAACGCTCTGAATTTTCATCCCATGATCCTGCGGACGCCGCAAAGGTTGCAAGTGTGAAAAATAGTTGTAAGTCACTTTTTGCAGTGCCATTCTAATTTTACACGGTCACTAAATGAATGATTGCAAGTTAAGGACCACCTGTATTCTACTATAGCCAGGAGCATTGCAATAGACAAGGGACTCAAATGCCTCTCAAACTAATATACTGATGGATTAAGGAAGATGATCTCTATGCAGTACCTTCCCAAAACACCAGGAAAAAAAAATCTCTAAGTGTTAGAGGCATTTTTCACCTTATATACTGTGTATCTGAAAGATGAAGGGCAAGAGGAGCCGAGGTGGCGCAGCAGTTAGGGTGCAGTACTGCAGGCCACTTTAGCTGACTGTGTTCAGCAGGTCAGCGGTTCAAATCTCACCGGCTCAAGGTTGACTCAGCCTTCCATCCTTCCGGGGTCGGTAAAATGAGGACCCAGATTGTTAGGGGCAATGTAAATATATATATATATACATTGCTTACTGGTGTACACCGCTTAGAGAGAGCTTGCACTTAAAGCGGTATATAAGTCTCATAAATAAATAAATAAATAAATAAATAAATAAAGAGAAGAAGGGGACGACAGAGAATGAGGGGGCTGAAGCAGTAGGCATGAGCTTAAATGGACTCCAGAAGATGGTAGAGGACAGGAAGGCCTGGAGGAACGTTGTCCATGGGGTCGCGATAGGTCGGACACGACTTCGCAACTAACAACAACAACTGTGTGTATCCAAGTCCTGATTTTTAGAGCATCCTTTGGTGCCACTTTGTGTTGAGTTAAAAAAAGAAAATGGGAGAGTCCTGTTCCTGCTAACTAACAGGTTTCTGTCTCACAATTGTTCCCCCCCCCCGCAGTGCAATTTGACATGATGCGTGCCTGCAATTTGATTGCCACCGTGGCCTTGACAGCCGGTCAGCTCCTCTTCGTGTTGGGATTGGTAGAGCTGCCCATTATTTCCCAGGATACCCAGTGGTGGGAAGAAGCCATCGCTGCTGTGTTCCAGCTTGCCAGTGAGTACCGTCAGTTGCAAAAGTAGGAAAACTGCCTCACCTGGGAGAAGCGCCAAGGGGTCCCCGTTCAAAACCTTTTCCAATTGGGTGCAGGCATTCCTACAAGTTGGTAGGAATCCCTTCCGTAACGACATCCGGTGCTGGCGTAGAAAAGACGGCCTGTTCCGTCTCCACTCAAACATAAAAATAGAGGGATGGGAAAACTTAAAGGGAAAGATGGAATTCCCCATAAGAATCGGTGGCCAAGAATCTTTTTTTTTCTTCTTTCAAGATTCTTGGTTGCTGTGAGCACCAATCATGCTATGATGCTATTCTCTCTCTCTCTCTCTCTCTCTCTCTCTCTCTCTCTCTCTCTCTCTCTCTCTCTTTCCTCTCTCTTCTCTCTCTCTTCTCTCTTCTCTCTCTTTCCTCTCTCTTCTCTCTTTGTCTCTCTCTCTCTCCTCTCTCTCTTTTCTCTCTCTCTCTTTCTCTCTTTGTCCTATTTATGACGGTTGCATGTGATCCGGTAATCTCCTGACAAGCAAAGTCAATGGGGAAGCCAGATTCGCTTAACAAACTTGTTACTAACTTCACAACTGCAGCAATTCGCTTAACAACAGTGGCAAGAAAGGTCGTAAAATGGGGAGCAAGCCCACTTAACAACTGTCTTGCTTAGCAACAAAAAAATTGGGGCTCCATTGTGGTCGAGAACTGCCTGTACTGCTCCTATTACACGATTAACCCATCAGGTTTTTAAGAAAACATTGGACAGCCATTTGGCCAGAATGATATAGGTCTCCTGCCTGAGCAGGAGGTTGGACTAGAAGACCTCTGAGGTCCCTTCCAACTCGGTTATTCTCTGTTCCTAGAAATCCTGATTGCATTTCCCTCCTCCTTCCCATCCAAAGCAGCCTGAGCTTCTCTTCCAACAGCTCGGCCTGCCTGCCCATTGTCCGAGCTCTGCTCTCCTCTGTTTTTCGCCAAGAGGAAATGCATTTTGGCCCGCTTGAGATTTGTTGTTTCATTGACAAACAGTACAAGAGGGCGGCCGTGTGCCTTTCTTCTATCACAGTGGCTAATTTTAGATTAGGGATTTTTTTTCCCCCCTAGGCTACAGTCTGTTTTAAACACAGTCAGAGAGAGACAGAAGGGCGCCAGGATTTCCCGACACAGGAGAAGGAAATGCCTGCTGTTACCTGTTATGCAAGCTGAACCTTGAAATCCTCAGCACTGGGAGTGGAAAGGGGGAGGGGGAAGAGAGAGAGAGAAAGAGAGAGAGGGGGAGAGAGAGGGGGGAGAGAGAAGAGAGAAAGAAAGAGAGAGAGAAGAGAGAGAGGAAGAGAGAGAGAGAGAGAACAGAGAGAGGGAAGAGAGAGAGAACAGAGAGAGGAAGAGAGAGAGAGAAGAGAGAGAGGAAGAGAGAGAAACAGAGAGGAGAGATAAAGAGGAGAAAGAGAGAGAGAGGGAGAGAAGAAAGAAAGAGAGGAAAAGAGAGAACAGAGGAGAGAGAGAGAGAGAACAGAGAGAGGAAGAGAGAGAAACAGAGAGGAGAGAGAGAGAGAGGAGAAAGAGAGAGAGAGAGAGAGAGGGAGAGAAGAGAGAAAGAAAGAGAGAGGAGAAGAGAGAGAGGAAGAGAGAGAGAGAGAGAGAGAGATTGAGGTTGGAATTTTTCATGCAATGCTATGAAGAGCGGCCACTGTGAGCCCTCTGATTGAAAGCTTGAAGTGTGAAAAACAACGAAGGGAACAGAAGACAAAGGTGACAGGGGGGAAAGGCATACATCACCACCGGAGGTACCAAACTCCACTCTTCCCACCAACTTTATTTATTTTTATTTTTGATAACAAACAATAGCAGACTGGCAAAACAGGTTCATAGCCAAGTGTCAAGGGAGTTTTGTTCAAAGCATTTTTGTAAGCCTTATATACATTAAAGGCCTCGGGAGCTGAACCTCAACCGACAGCAGAGAATAAATGTTTCCAGATACTGAACCTTGCTGATGGTGCTGGCCTAAGTGCCAAAGGATTGATGCTTTTGAATTGTGGTGTTGGCTAAGACTCTTGAGAGTCCCTTGGACTGCAAGGAGATGTGATCGGTCAACCCTAACCCTACCCTAACCCTAACCCTAACCCTGAAGGAAATGGACCCTGTCTGTCCTTTGGAAAGACAGATACTGAAGTTCAAATACTTTGGCCACCGAATGGGAAAAGAAGACTCATTGGAAAAGACTCTGAGGTTGGGAAAGAAGGAAGACAAAGGAGAGGACAGCTGAGTATGAGACGGTTAGATATTGTCATCAGTGCAATGAACATGAATTTGGGCAAATTCAGGGGGGGGGGCAATAGAGGACAAGGGGGCCTGGCATGCTATGGTCCACGGGGTCACAAAGAGTCGGACATGACTTAGCAACTGAACAGCAATCTGGTGTAAAAAAAAAAAAAACACCTGATCCAAGCAAAGGAAGTTAAGCCTCCAATATGTACAATTTGCTTACCTTCAAATTCAACTCTTTGGGCAGCTTTTCTTTCTATTCTGATGGGGCCAATGCTGGAATGTTTTGCCCGTCTGTTCAATATCCACATCTGAGAGATGTTTATTGGACAGAACGAAGAAGATAAACTACAGTAATGTATTCCGTACGCTACTCAGAGCGCCTGGATTTTCAAATCCGTCTTTTAAGATGCAGAATGAAGATATTCACATATTAGCTTGCCTTTTATCCGAGTGAAGGAACAAAAAAAAAAAAAAAGAAGGAAAGAAAATAAATCCCTTGGCCACCTCTGCATCTTACATGGATAAAAAGCAAAGGCCAGGTTTTCACTAAGCAGCAGGGTCTTGAGCTAAGGGTATGAATACAACCCGTGTCTACAACTTGGCAAAGCGGTTTTGTTTTCCAGAACCACAGCTTTGTGAATCCAGAACACAACGGGGCACCTTGTTTTTTTTTAATCTTTGCACCCTCTGAAGCAGCCTTTGGAAAATGAATCGCAGTATGGCAAACTCTGATGAGCCTGAATGGGAGCAACCACGTGCAAAACATATCAACACTGGAAGTTTTTAAGAAGAGATTGGACAACCATTTGTCTGAAATGGTGTAGGGTTTCCTGCCTGAGCAGGGGGTTGGACTAGAAGACCTCCAAGGTCCCTTCCAACGCTGTTATTCCATTATTCTTTTACTCTCTAAAAAATGCTACATGACTCAAAAGTTTGATTCCCCCCTACTCTCTAAGTGGTTTACAGAGTCAGCCTATGCCCCCTCTCCGACAATCTGGGTTCTCATTTTACTGATCTCGGAAGGATGGAAGGCTGAGTCAACCTTATGCCGGTCAGGATCGAGCTCCTGGCTGTGGACAGAGTCAGCCTGCAATACTGCATTCTAACCACTTGAGCCACCACGACTCATTACTCAAGTAGATTATATCACTGGCACTGATGATGTTACCTAGTTTGGTAATGAAACATCTGCAAGAAAACCACCAAGCTGAGAGAGCACCAAGGACCCTGAATATTCTCTTACCTACAGATGTGTTCCAATGACTCTGGAAACTTTAACTCTTTTTTTTTAAAAAAATAATAATAATAATAATTCCAAAATTAACAACAACAAAAATTAGAGTGTTGTCATAATAGCAAGCCTCTCAGATCAATGATATAAAGTACACGTATTGATTTATTTTCATCCTAGCTTCCTAGTCTGCAGGACCTTACAACTGGTCATCATATGTCGAAAGAGAAGACATGTTAGCAAGAAAGCCACATGTTTCAGCCAACCTACCTCAAATACCCCAAACAAAACTCTGACCCTGGCAAGCAAGCCTGATGGGTCAGCCCTCCCCATCACACGGACATAATGGCTCCCAGCCCTGCCTCACTTTGACTTGAGCCACCTGGGTCTGTCCTAGAGAGAGGTGCATCCTTTTTGGAAAAAAAAACAAAACAAAAGAGAACCCTAGCAAAATACAACTTTAGGAAGCTGAGAGGAAGGAAAGAGGGACGGAAGTACTGTTGCCCTGGCAGTTCCAGGACTGGACAGCCACACACCTTACAGGAAAGGGCTGTTTGCTTTGGAAAAGGAGGGTGGGGAAACTGAAAGTGGCTTTTTGCAGAGAGAGCTTCGAGCTAACGTTCCTAGGAGGTTCCTCCTGGGAGAGATTCACGTTATATTAACATATGAAAGACTGATGGAGACGTTCAGCGACTTGGACTGCTGCATCTGCTCATACCATCGAAAGCAACCTCCCAGTTCAAGAAGAAGGTCCCCAAGTATGAAGATCTTTAAAAAAGAGGGGCAGTTACGGTAACTGAACTGGCCAGTGTGACAGAGGCATGTGGACCGTTACACTTAATCCAAAATCGCAGGACTGCATGGGGGCGATTCACTGGAGAAAGCCATTCTGTTTGGAAGGGTTAGTGGTAAAAGGAAACCAGGTTGTCCAAGAACACAGTGGCTGGACACCCTCAAAGCCTGCGTGTTTTTAAGGTTGCAGAACGAGAGATGAAAACTTTGGCCTTCATCAAAGTAGAGAGAAATGAAATTTAAAGAAAAAGAAGAGCTCTGGTGTTCATCTTGCCCAACTGTTTCCAGAGCTCCTTTCTCCCATTTCCTAATGGTGAGAACAATTAATCAGAGGAACAACTTGCCCCTCCAGAAGTTGTGGGTGCTCCATCACTGGAGGCTTTCAAAAAGACTGGACAGCCATTTGTCTGAAATGGTATAGGATCTCCTGCTTGAGCAGCGGGTTAGACTAGAAGATCTCGGATCTCGGAGTCCTAGTGGACAATCACTTAAATATGAGCCAGCCGTGTGTTGCAGCTGCCAAAAAGACCAACACAGTGTTGGGCTGCATTAACAGAGGGATAGAATCAAGATCACGTGAAGTATTAATACCACTTTACAATGCCTTGATAAGGCCACACTTGGAATACTGCATCCAGTTTTGGTTACCACGATGTAAAAAAGATGTTGAGACTCTAGAAAGAGTACAGAGAAGAGCAACAAAGATGATTAGAGGACTGGAGGCTAAAACGTATAAGGAACGGCTGCTGGAATTGGATATGTCTAGTTTAATGAAGAGAAGGACGAGGGGGGACATGATAGCAGTATTCCAATATCTGAGGGGTTGCCACAAAGAGGGAGTCAAGCTATTCTCCAAAGCGCCTGAAGGCAGGACAAGAAGCAACAGATGGAAACTCATCAAGGAGAGAAGCAAGCTAGAACTAAGAAGAAACTTCCTGACAGTTAGAACAATTAATCAGTGGAACAGCCTGCCTCCAGAAGCGGTGAATGCTCCAACGCTGGAAGTTTTTAAGAAGAAACTGGACAGCCATTTGTCCAAAATGGTATAGGGTTACCTGCCTGAGCAGGGGGTTGGACTAGATGACCTCCAAGACCCCTTCCAACTTTATTACTACTACTACTACTACTACTACTACTACTACTACTACTACTACTACTATTATTATTATTATTATTATTATTATTATTATTATTATTATTACCTCCAAGGTCCCTTCCAACTCTTGTTATTCTATGTTCTAACCTAGCACGTACCTTTTGGGCTTGCTAGCATTCCCAACCAGCAATTTTTATTTTGGATTATTAGCCTTTTCCTTCCAAGAAATATCCAAAGCAACCACACTGCAGAGGAGATTTAAACAAGCTGGGAAATCGGTCGGGTGTATCTGGAGCAGCCCAGACGGCCCATCCTTATGAGTAATAATTACACTTGAACTGGCTTGCTTTATCTTATATCATCTTGTGCCCAAGAATAGATTTTTTGTCACAGAAGGCTCGCAAGCCGGGCCACGGATGCACAAAGGAGGAGACACGCCGAAAAGTGGAGACAGCCAGTCCTGACCTGTCCTTGCCCACAATCCTAACGGAAATGGTATCTGTAGATCTTTATGTCTGTTTACCACCCTTTTGTTTATCCTAGCCTCCTTTTGCAAAGAGGCCCTTTTGTCTGTGTGAATTCCCTTCTGTTGTGGTGGTTAAGGAAGTGTTTATGAGAGAAGAGGGAAGCTGGGTTTTTTTTTCCTATTATACAAGGCCTACTTGCTTCTTTGTATATTGTTCTTGTTAGGCTAATTAGGCCTATAAATTACTTCCATCCAAAAGCTCATTAACTTGGACCGAGCAGGGTGGAGTAGAGACCAAGAGGACCAGGGCGGTGTTGCAAGAGACCCGTCAAGAGACACACCAGAAGCTGTGTTGACACCTGCCTGAATGGAAAGTAGGACAGTTTTTTTATGTGGTTCTTCACACAACCTTCTGGGTCAAGATGTTTCGGATTCTACTTCTGACCCCTTGATCGGTTTCCTGCATGGCTAGACAAATCTCCTCACCTCAGTTTCCTCAACGGCGAAGCAAGAATAACCGGATATTTAGGATACACACGAAGAAGGAAACGGTGCTGGGATAATGCTTCGTGTTCATAAAGATCTTCAAGACCCGGTGGGAGAACGCCGCGTTAAGAAAAGCAAAACATTGCTGCACTTTGAAAACCGGACTCTTTCCTGCCATGTCGCAGGAGGAAATCCACCTCCAGATAAAGGAATTTCCCAGGCGAAATTGATGGATGTATTTTCCCATTTAGAAATATCCGCGCTTCTACCATCTTTCCTGGAAAGCTTCTCAGACTTAATTTTTTGGCCTCCTGAATCACAAACACGGGGGGGTGGGCTGTTGGGGTGAGAAACCTCCTTTGTGACTTAGTAAATTAACTTTGATCCGTCAGGTCCTTGGGTGAGAAACAATCTGTTGCGCTGGCAGCGTTCAAATCATGTGCAACGTGCAATGCATATCGCTGGAGTGGCTAAGAAATGTTATTAAAAAAATGAAATGCATACATGCAGATATGCATTCAGATAGCCTAACTTGTGGTGCTGGAGAAGACTCCTGTGAGTCCCCTGGACTGCAAGGCGATCAAACCAGTCAGTCCTAGAGGAGATCAACCCTGACTGCTCTTTAGAAGGCCAGATCCTGAAGTTGAAACTCAAGTACTTTGGCCACCTAATGAGAAGAAAGAACTCACTGGAGAAGAGCCTGATGCTGGGAAAGATTGAGGGCAAGAGAAGGGGACGACAGAGAAGGAGGTGGCTGGATGGAGTCACTGAAGCAGTAGGCGTGAGCTTCAATGGACTCCAGAAGATGGTAGAGGACAGGAAGGCCTGGAGGAACGTTGTCCATGGGGTTGCGATGGGTCGGACACGACTTCGCAGCTAATAACAACAAGCCTAACTTGTAGAAATATGCCCACATGTCCACAGAATTGTATCCACATTATTTTGCTTAATATGACCCAGCAAAGAGATGAAGGGCATACTCTGTTGTGCCAGCTTCTAGAAAGATTGCATCTGATTTATGAAATCATGAAAGCACAATAACATCTATGGGAAATATAATTTTTCTCCCAACCAACACAACGAGTATATGTGGTGCAGATGGTGGATATAGACAACCACAGAATTTCCCTCCCCCCCAAGTATTTCTAAAGGGAATGAACATAACTGCATCCATCTGTACTCCATTGTGTGTTCAACTATTCTGGACACAGAGAAGATGCAGTTGGCCTCCTCGTTGAATAATGCCTAGAAGAGTTTGGGTGTCCAGCTTTTTGGCTTGCCTCGCCCACCACGACTGAAGAGGAATTGTTTGCCCCGAATATACAATATATAAGAGCCGTGGTGGCACAGTGGTTACAATGCAATGTTGCAGGCTAACTCTGCCCACTGCCAGCAGTTCAATCTTGTTGACTCAGCCTTCCATCCTTCTGAGGTCGGTAAAATGAGGATCCAGATTGTTGAGGGCAATAGGCTGACTCTGTAAAGTGCTTAGGGAAGGCTGTAAAACACTGTGAAACGATAACATAACATATATGCTATATAACATATAAATATATATAAATAACAAACTTCCTTTATTTTTTTTTATTTTTTACTGTATCTTGTGAGGTCGCATTACTAAGCTGTTCAGGGCCGAGAGCTGGACAGGCCTGGCCTAGAGCTTAACCTCATTTAGAATGGAGTAATTTAAATAATCACTTTTGATCTACACCTTGGAAGAAAAGAAGCAGATTATTATTGTGCTTAGCCTCTTGGGGGTCTTTGAAAGTCCTGTCCTTCATGCAAAACATTTGTCCCTCCTGGACGTTGACATCTTGGGAATATTATTTAACGTGAATTTTCCAATTTCATTTTCTTTCAGGTTTTGTTCTGGTCATTGGTCTGGTGACTTTCTATCGTATCGGACCCTACACCAGCTTGTCCTGGTCTTGCTATCTGAACATTGGGGCGTGTCTCTTAGCCACATTGGCTGCAGCCATCCTGATCTGGAACATCCTTCACCGTCGGGAGGACTGCATGGCGCCCAAAGTCATTGTGATTAGCCGCACGCTGACCGCTCGCTTTCGGCGTGGGCTGGAGAACGACTACGTCGAGTCCCCGTGCTGAGAACACGTAGATGGGAAGAGGGAGATGATTCAACTACCACAGGCGGATCAAAAAAAAAAATAACCACCTGACTGCTTTCTATACATGGGCGATATAATTTAAAACCACAAATTTCTCTGTTCACTTATATATTTTCTGAGGTTTTCGCGGGTGTTTGTATGTAGGTCTTTGGTTATTCGGGTTTTCTCCTGCGTAAAATTGGAAGTGTCTTGGCGACATTTCGACGAAGTCCCATTCGTCATCTTCAGGCTGATGTTTTCAGCTTCGTGCTTCGAGGAGCAATGAAGCTGAAAACACCAGCCTGAAGATGACGAATGGGACTTCGTCGAAACGTCGCCAAGACACTTCCAATTTTACGCGGGAGAAAACCTGAATAACCAAAGACCTACATATATATATATGCAAAATTTGAGAGGCACCGAATCTGGCTGGAACAATTATTCTTACAGCAAAACAAAAGCTTCAAAATCAAAGACAACCAGGATAATTGTAGTGTTTGGAAGGCTTGGCAGAAATGTCTTTTAACCGAGCATGAAATATTTAAGATTTCAGGCTTATTGTCTTTAAAGCCAATTTTGCAGAAACATTTCCACGCCACTTAGCTCTTGATAAAGAGCTCCATTCTAGGGCTGCCATCCTTCACGATAGCTGCATTATCCACATCAAAAATATTGGGCTTTTCTCTTTCTATCAGCCTTAGCAATTTTTTAAATCAAACATTGAATGCTGGCCTTTTTTTTTTTTTTAAATTTGGTGCTAAAGTGTAGCTTTTCTGCCTGAGTGCTTTAGCCAAAAGAGATACAAGTAGTCCTTGACTTACGACCACGAGTCTAAAATTTCATTGTTGTTAAGTGAGAAAAGTTGTTCAGTCAGTTTTGCCCCATTTTACAACCTTTCTTTCCACGGCTGTAAAGTGAATCGCTGCTGTTGGTAAGTTAGCAACCCGGCTGTTAAGTGAATCTGTCTTCTCCCATTGACATTGTTTTGTCAGAAAGTCGCAAAATGGGATCACGGGACCTTGGGATACAACAACCGTCATAAATATGAACCGGTTGCCAAGCGTCTGAATTTTGATCATGTAAATCATAGGGGTTCTGCAGAGTCGTAATTGTGAAAAATAGTCCCAAGTCACATTTTTCAGTGCCGTTGTAACTCTGAATCGTCACTAAATGAACTGTTGTAAGTCGAGCCCTCTACCTGTACTGAAATATAGAATCAAGCCAGTGCAGCTTCAGAAGATGCTTTGATGAGGTGGGAAGACCAGCTTACTAAATTTATGGGAGACAAGAATTTACTCCTTATTTACCCAAGGGGGGGAAAAATAATCCATCAGAAATTTCTGTCGGATGACTAGATCCCTGATATGCCCAGCTATGTTTGGCTTTGATAAAACATTTAGCAAAATATTTAACCCGTGAAGAATGATACTATAGAGGTAAGGACGGAGGGGGAAAAAAAAGGATTGGATGATGAGGCTATTGACCTAAATATTTAATGTCTCTTTCTTAGAGACTTTTGTAATATAACTGCTTCAAAACTTTGCTTTGGCTTTCCGCTTCCCATCCTTGTTTTCTTCAGAAAGGGAATAATGAAGCTAGCTCTTGAATTTCATAGTATGACTTAATATGACGCCAAATAAAAGACATTAAACAGGTATATCACTCTGTACCTAAGCTTTAATAAGCTACCTAACCTAAACAATACAAACCCAGAAGCTTAAACTTTATATGACACCTGCAGTTCTTGAGGAATTATTTCTGTTCTGGATGTGTAACAATTGCATTTTTCCTCCTTAGGTTACTCAACTGTTTAGAGGACAAAAACCTGCTATTAGACGAAAAGTAATATAAGAATATGTGCAACATTTACGAAGTACTTTGACATCTTTCGCACTACGTATTGTAGAAAATACCTAGACAATGGATGTGGACAATTACGATTGAAATTATAGGTAAAACAGCTACCAATATAATCCTTTGGACACCTTAATGTTGATATAAATTTTCTTAGCTACAGTATATTCTACCTCTCAGTAAGTTTAGTCCTATAAAACATGCAAATTAGGATAAGAAAATTCAAATCACAGTGTACTTATGTTCTAGAGTTTACATCCCACTTCAAAGCACGCCTCTAGTCTTTTTCAGATTTAGAAAACTATCTTGCTGGGACTAAATTGACCTATCCTTTAATCAAAAAGTGAACTTCATTTCAACTTACCTGCCTTGCTTTCTAGCAAATTTCTATAGCTGCTGAACATAAAATGTGCTCTTATTAACTGCCATTTACAAAAAGACTTTAAATACTAGAATATTTAAGATGTATTATTTCTGCTAATATTGCAATAACCATCATTATAATGTGAAATTAAAATCAAATGGTTCTGCCCCCGATTCCACTGTAAGAGTTGAATTCCCTGTGTTTGTCTTAGACATAGTAATGAAGTTGAAATGGTAGATTTGCCTTTAAAGAATAAAAAAGGCAAAAGTAAGGAGGTTTTATATTTATATATTTTGGGGGTTGCCACAGAAAAGACTTGCCTAGCTCCTACTCCAGGAAACTCATGAGGGGGGAGAATTAATAGGCTATCTTTAGAAATTAGTTACATGGCTTTTCAGGGTGAATGGAAATTGGTACATAAGGACATGAATTTCAAGCTATAAGAAGCTTGATGATCAGGCAATAGGTTGGATCAACCTATTTTCCAAAGCACTTGAAGGGAGAACAAGAAACAAAGGATGGAAACTAATCAAGGAGAGAAGCAACCTAGAACTAAGGAGAAACTTCCTGACAGTGAGAACAATTAATCAGTGGAACAGCTGGCCTCCAGAAGTTATGGGTGCTCCATCACTGGAGGTTTTTTAGAAGAGATTGGACAACCATTTGTCTGAAATGGTAGAGGGTTTCCTGCTTGAGCAAGGGGTTGGACTAGAAGACCTCCAAGGTCCCTTCCAACTCTTGTTATTCTGTCCCCTATTGTAATTTTAAAAATTCTGATACCTTTGGCTGAATATTATTGGACAACCTAGCTGCTCATATAATAAATATCCCAACAATTAGCTTTCATTAGTCAAACCTCTTGTATCAGGTCTATTTGCAATCCTAGGAGAACCTTGCTGTGGGTGGAGAATAACAGAAATATACAAGTCCCAGTATCTAGGCAAAGAGGACCAAAACATTCTTTAAAATCTGCAAAACCTATTCCGAAGCAGCTCAGGAAAACGTCTCCTTGATTCACTGGTATATAGAAAAGATGGGAGGGAAACCACAAATGGACTTGCCAAATTCTATTTATAATATCTTATCTCAGTATAGACTTAGTCTTCCTGTAGAGTTGATTGTCTTGTCTAGTTGACCTGACGGAACTAAAAAAAATGTGTTTCACAACAAGCGAAACACAAAAGGAAACAATGAAATAAAAGGCAAATAAATGCAGCTTTCGTAGCAACGCCAGTAACACCGCCAGTCTAAGATCAATTAACGCCACCAATCTGAGGTCAGTTAATCCCTTTTTTCTCCAATAATCATGACATCACACTAGAGAAAATGAGAAATAAGGGGGGGGGACGGGGAGGAGAGAAAACCCAAAACCACCCTACCTTTTGATGAGTTTGATAGACTTGAAGGCCTCATCCATGTCTCCAATGGTTAGGTAGAAGCTGAAGTTAAGCATAGCTTCGCAAGTCATCTTGTCACACTCTTCCAGCCCAATGAAATCTCTCATCGGTCTTCTAGCTACCATCTGATGCAGCGGAACCCTGCCGGGTTCTGCCTCATCCTTTTTTTCAGCTTCCGGCTAAAAAGAAAGTACTAATTACACACATGGCAAGCAAAATATTTGTGATGTGTGTGTGTGTGTGTGTGTGAGAGAGAGAGAGAGAGAGAGAGAGGGAAGGAGGGAGAGAGAAAGTTATGAAAAACAGTTGCAGGAATTGGACATGTCTAGTCTAATGAAAAGAAGGACTAGGACAGAGGTCCCCAACCTTTTGGGCACCAGGGACCGGTTACATGGAGAGAGATTTTTCCACGGACCGGAGGGTGTGTGGTTTTCTGGGTTGCCTGCATCCTGTGGATGGGTTTTTCTTTGTTTGTGTGGACCGGTTGCTGGCATGCTGCGGCCCGGTACTGGTCCACAGACCAGGGGTTGGGGACCCCTGGACTAGGGAGTGACATGATAGCAGTGTTGCAATACCTAAAGGCCACAAAGAAAAGGGGGGAAACCTATTTTCCGAAGCACCTGAAGACAGGAAAAGGAACAATGAATGGAAATTAATCAAGGAGAGAAGCAACCTAGAACTAAGGAGAAATTTCCTGACAGTGAGAACAATTGCCTTCAGAAGTTGTAGGTGCTCCATCACTGGAGACTTTTAAAAAGAGACTGGACAGCCATTTGTCTGAAATGGAATAGGGTCTCTTGCTTGACCAGGAGGTTGGACTAGAAGACCTCCAAGGTCCCTTCCAATTCTGATATTCTGCTATATGTGATAGCAACAACCTGTTCTAGATCAATAAATAATATTTATCACTCAACACTGATATTTCAAAAGAAGCAGCAACTTGATATTCAAACCATTTTCTCAGTACAACTCCCCTCCGCCATCAAACGATTGGTTTTTTTTTTCCAAGTTTTTCTTCCAAATAGTTTACTTTTCAAATGGAAGGTTTTATCTTCAAGTCATTGGGCACAGAGTAGCAGAAATCAACTTTTTCCTGTCTTAACATTTTGGAGCAGGAGTCCTCTTCCTTTTAATAAAGTAGCTTCTTGCATCTTAAATGTCTAATAACGGAACATTTTGAACAAACCATTTATGACTTGAAGACCCATCGTGTTGTTCTAATTGCTTAAACAGAAGGGTGGGGATGGGTGGGCCTCGCCTAGAATAATGCCTGAGACGGCATAAAACGTGGAAGAAAAGGCAGGCTCCAGTGAATTGAATAAACTATTAAGTCATCCATTATTTTTATTATGTGATAAGGATGAGCTAACGGTACTCAGAAGTACAGTACACTAAGATAGCATGTGGGGCTATGCTTAGCCGATTTATAATCATCATCAAGACTAA